TAGGGAGAGGTGGTAGTAGTACAACATTGTGAATGTACTAAATGCCCTGAGTCATACAGTCTTTTTATTTAAAGATTTTATTTATTTATTTGACAGAGAGGGAACACAAGCAGGGGGAGTGGGAGAGGGAGAAGCAGGCTTCCCGTGGGGCAGGGAGTCCAATGCGGGGCTCGATCCCAGGACCCTGGGATCATGACCTGAGCAAAGGCAGACGCTTAACCGACTGAGTCACCCAGGCACCCCTGAGTCATACATTTTAAAATAGTTAATTCTATGCTATGTGAATTTCACCTTGATTAAAACACACATGCCCAAGGAGATATCTCTTCACACCTGCCAGAATGGTCGTGTGTGTGTGTCTTGTTTGTTTTAAGAAAGAAAAACAAGTGTTGGAAAAGATGTAGAGAAATTGTAACCCTCATATAATGCAGGTAAGTCTCTCTTTTCACTTCCTGTAGGTATATACCTACAGGTGGAATTGCTGGTTCATATGGTAATTCTGTTGAGTTTTTTGAGGAACTGCCAAACTGTTTTCCATAGTGGTTGTACCATTTTACATCCCCACCAGCATCAGATGAGAGTTAGAATTTCTCCACATCTTTCCCAACACTTGCTTTTTTTTCTTTCTTTAAAAAAAAAAAAATCTAGGGTGCCTGGGTGGCTCGGTCGGTTAGGCGGCTGCCTTTGGCTCAGGTCATGATCCCGGGGTCCTGGGATCGAGTTCCGCATCGGGCTCCTTGCTCAGCAGGGAGTATGCTTCTCCCCTGCCTGCTGCTCCCTCTGCTTGTGCTTGCTCTCTGTCTGTCTCTCTTGCTCTCTCTGTGTCATATAAAAGCTTTTTTTAAAAAATCTCTAATCTATCTATATATACATACAAACATACATACATATGTGGCCATCCTGGTAGGTATGAAGAGATAACTCCCTGTGCATGTGTCCTGTTGCAATCAGGATCACCCCATTAGTAATCACACCCTGTTCTCTCCTCCCCCATTCCCTGGCAACCCACAGGAATTGAAAAGAGACTCACCTTCAGCTCAGGTCGTGATCCCGGGGTCCTGGGATCGAGCCCCATGTCAGGCTCCCTGCTCATCAGGGAGCCTGCTTCTCCCTCTCCCTCTCTCTACCCCTCCCCGCCACTCATGTTCTCTCTCTCTCTCTCTCTCTCTCTCTCTCAAATAAAAAATCTCAAAAAAAAAAAGAAAAGAGAGACTCAGTTGGATGCCAATGTTCATTACCACATTATTCATAATGGCCAAATGGTAGAAACAACCCAAGTGTCCGTCAACAGATGGATGGATGGATGAACAAATATGGTATATACACATAAAAGAATATTATTTAGCCATAAAAAGAAGGAAATTCTGACATGAATGAACCTTGAAAACATTATGCTAGGTGAAATAAGCCAGACACAAAAGGACAGACATTGTGTGATTCCACTTGTATGAAATATCTAGAATAAGCAAATTCATCCAGAAAGTAGATTATAGGTTACCAGAGACTTGGGGGGAGCTGAGAATGGGGAGTTACTGCATAATGGATATGATTTCTGTTCCAGGTGTTGAAAAATTTGGGAAATAGATAATGAGATGGTTGCACACCATCGTGAATGTGATTAATGCCACTGAACTATACACTTGAAAGTGATTTGAATAGCACAACCCCATAGAGAAGACAAAACTTGCTGAAACTTGGCTTTTGCTGGCTAGGGCTGGGCTCTGTGCTCATCTAAGGAGATGTTTACCCGGTGATTTACAGCCTCTGGCTGGTAGAAGAGCTTGGTAACTATAGGTCCTCTTTCTGGTAGCTTCTCATCTGCCCAGGCTGCCTCAAAAGAGAAGTCTTCTGGCAGCCCACAATCTGTCAGGGTCTATCAGGGTTGTCAACAGGGAAAGAAAGTCTGAGCCTGGGCTTCAGAGCTTGACAGCCTGGCTTCACATCCTGACTGCCTTGGAGCAAGTTAGGTAGCCTCTGAGTGCCCCCATTTCCTCATCTGTTAAATGGAGGTAATCTTAGTCCCTAGTTCTTGATTGTCAGGGGAATTAAGTGAGTAAATGAATGTCAAATGGATGTTTGCTGTTACTGTCACTCTCATCTCTGCCCACGTTGGTTGGGAGCCATGTCAGCACCCTACTGAGCCCACAGCAATATGTTAAGTATTTGGAGCTTAAATATTAAATAAGCATAGCTGTAGTCCAGGAACTATATAGTCTCCTATAACTTATATGAGATAAACTCAACATATAATTAACAGAGAAGTGCCTGGTGAGTTAATACAGCAAAACATCTTTCCCAAAAAATTAACCATTTCTGGTTGACACGTCACCCCATTTCCATCTCTACGAGTGGAATCTTGTCAGATTGGCAGAGGGACAGGTAGAACCAAATCATCCTTTCCACCCCCTCACACACTGTCCCCCTTCGACTACTGACATGTGAAGCCCAGAGGGTCTGTGAGGAGGTAGGGAGGTAACTGCATAAGGATCCTGGGACCTTTCTGAGATTCAGAGTGTTTTAATCATGTCTGGAGGCACCCATGTGGAGGGGTGAGGTGCGGTGGGAGGCAAGAGGGCAGAAAGAAGGAGGAGTCGTGGGCAAGAGTCAGGAGGGGCCATGAGATGGCTGGACTCTAGAGTTGGCTCCTTTTCAGCCCTTGGGGGACAGACCCAGAAGCGGCCACATCCGGGACCACCGCTGAAGAACGGTGTCTATCCGGAGAGCGCTGTGGCAGTGGGAACCCAGGCCCAGCTGGCAGGAACACAGAGAGTAAGCCTCACTCTGGGGAAAGAACTTTCTCTTCTTGCCTTCTTGCCCACCCCCCGAAAGCAGTGGTGGCTCTTACCATGGAAGCAAGGTGTGCCTGGGTGGCTCTGGTAACTGTGGAAGAAAGACAGGGTCGGTGGGGGGACATGTCTCAGTCACTACAGTGAACTAAGGGTCAGCTGGAGAAATAGCGGAGCACCAGCCGCAGAGATAGGCGCCCTCAGCATCCCTATCCCACGTCTGCCATGTTGGGATCGAGGGCTGCCCCCTTGGGCCCAGGCGGCTCCCGGCTTCTTGGATTTCCAGCAGGACAGGAGGAGCAAGCCTGGGGTGTGGAAAGCTATGACTCACTTGCCTGCGCAGGTTGGGGGCCACTTTTGCAGCTTATAGGTTGAACTCAGAGCACATTCCATTAGAACTAGCATTCAACACTCTGGTGTGCGCGCAATTATAAATGTGAAGGTCCCCGCCAGCGCCCCCCGGAAACCTGTGGCCAGCCCTGAACTGCAGCAGTCCACCCACCCTCCTGTAAACCCTTACCTGCCCTCAGCCTTGTGCTTCCAGAGCATGGCAATCTAGCCAAGTGCAGAAAGGGAGAGGGGAGGAAGGGGGCCCAAACCCGAGGGCTATCAATTCCAGATGGCAGCGATCTACACTGACCTTAAGAATCTTCTTTCTCAGCACCTGTACAGTAGATTTTTACAAGGCTTTTGCTCTCATCAGCTGACGGTGTCTTGAGTTGCCCCTGGGAGAAACAGTGTTAAAGTTGGTGTGCAGAGGCTGTTTACAGAGGCTGTATCCCTTTCATGAATGAAACAAAGACAAATTGGCCCATAGGGCTTCTCTGGAGTGGTTCAAGCCTACGGCAGTACAGGAATTATTAAAAAAGGGATAGCTATTGCCTAAAATTACAACTTTCCAGTCATTGTGTAAATACATTATTGCCTTACCTCCTTTACTTCTTAGATACTATTGATAGCCTTATCTTACCTGTGAGCAAACTGTGTGAAGTTAAGTAAATTTCCCAAAATCACACAGCCACCCGATGAAGTAGATACTCTTGACTGTTCCCATTTTACCGATGAGGAAGCTGAGGCAAACCTGGGATTTGCATCTCTGTCCATCACACTTAACACACTTCCATGCCTGGGTCGTTCTGACTCCACCACCAGGATTTACTCTCCTCCTACTGTTACAAACGCAGGCACAGAAGTGTGTTAAGTGTGATGGACAGAGCTCCCCAAGGAGGCAGAGGTGGAGCAGACATTTCCTTGATCACTGATTTCAGGCCAGAGTTTTCAAACCTGAATTTTGAAAACTTTCTACTTTATAAAGAATGATACCCCAATCAAGAAATTGGTAAAGTTTTAATGATAAGGCAAACTTTGATAGTAGTGTATCATTAGTGTCCATTTTAGGGTCGGGGGAGAAACTTCTGAAATAATAATACTAAGTAAAGTAAGTGTAAAAGGCTAGGCGTAAATGTTACAGAGTTGTAGTTAATTGTCTCTAATTAGCTGAGTACATTAGCTGCTGTCAGGAATACAAAATAAATGTGCTAAGTAAGGGGACAACACTCAGGCTGTTGATTCCCTCTGAAGTAACTTACTGTTCTCAGGAAAAATAAATCCACCACCAAAGGTAAGGATAAATGTGACAAAGGAAAGGAACTGGAAACAAGATTCAAGAATAATAGCCACTTCACCCATATCTAAAATATGAAGAAAAAAAAACCTTCCAAGTCCTCTGTCCATTTGTGACATGCCCCACAAACATCCCCAAGGTTCTGAAGAGCCTACTCTAGAGTCGAAAACCATCGGAAGTATCACTGTTACCGCTCCTTCTCTTACTTTGTACTTCACCCCTTCTTGCCTAAACACAGGCCTCGTCCTGGAGCCCGCAGCCACTGGGAGAGAGGCTCTTGGGTTGATCTGCCCACTCTGTTTCGAAGGGGGCATGACAACAGGCTGCATAAAACAAGAGGAAAGCCTGGGGAGGTGCCTGGCCCACAGCTGTGCCGTTTGCATGTCTGGCAACAGCCACCCTTTCTTCCTGGTCTTCATCTAATGACACTGGAGACCGCGGGCTCTTGTGGTAACCCTCACAGCTTGCCCCTCCTGGGTCGTAGGCATGTGTACGAACGTGAAGCTGAAGGAATGAGCCAGCACTGCTGTCTAGCTTCACTTAATTAGTAGAAAGGAATTTAGACAGAGAAGGTACTTCAAAAATGTCACTTATTTGCACAGGCTTGCCACACCGTTAAAGCACACCAGGCCTTCATGCCAGAGGACCAGTTTCTCTTCCGTTAAGTATGTGCACACCTCCCTCCCTCTCTGCATGTAAGGTTTTCTTACACTGGTTTGATGGTGTCCGGGCTGCACCGTAGCATGCGGGTGCTGTGCCTGGCACGGCACAAGGTCAGCCAAGGGAAAGCTCTGTGGCTGTGCCCGCAGGGTCCTGGGCTTGACCAAGCCCACGTACTTGCCTTCATCAGTCCTGGAGCACCTGGAACGCTCCAGAGCTTTGATTGCTTCCTGGTCTGTGGGCCAGGGTCCCGCACGAGGAGGTTGCTGTACTTGAGCAGTCCCCCGCCCCTGATCTCTTCGGGGTTCTTGGTGGCGATCAGTCTGTTCTGCAGGTGGTCAAAGGCTTCCTTGAAGTCCCCGTACACGCTCTCCCTGATCACCGTGGGGTGGACGTGGTCAGGGATGGGGCTGCTGGAGCAGCCGTAGAAGAAGAGCAGAGAGTCCAGGATGATCTGAAAAGAGTCCACACTAAACTCAAACTGGCACCGAATGGAGTCAACGAATTTCAGCTCCACGTTCTTCCTGTTCCTTTTGGAGAGGGAAATCAGGCTCCAGCAGTCAGTATCCGTGCAGACCTTCACCAGCTTCTGGACATACGCCTCCTTCAGGGTGACCGGGCTGATCTTGAGCTTGTTCACGCCCTCCAGCAGAAAGTTTGGAAGGGAGCACAGCACCACATCCCTGACCAGCTGAAATTCTGCCTCTGTGGGAAGAGCCACATGAAAGATCAGGTCCAGGTCTTTGCAACACAGGCTGTTGTCTTTGACCAAGACGTGGCCCGTTGCGGAGCCGTTCAGCCGGACGTCCTGCACTTTGATGCCTGCCTCCTCCAGCCGGCCGTACTCGAGGTGCCCCATGTGAGCGTTTATTTCGGGTGATGGGTTGCAGTAACTGCCCAGCGGCAGGAATGGGCTGGTGTGGAGAACGGACAGCAGGCTCCATCTGACCCCATGGCCCCCATGCTCATGGCCAAGGCCAGGACACAAGGCAGGCTGCAGGAGCCCCAGCACAGAGGTGAGGACAGCAGCTCCCTAGGATGTGGTGCCAGGCCTCCTGGCCATGCCTTACCAACTGGGGCTGTGGACCTGGTCGTGTGGGTCCCTCTGATCCTGGCTTTTTGCAGGGACTGCAGGTCAGGAGACAGACCGCACCCTGCATAGACACCATTGGTAATGCTGTATTCTAGTAAAGCACCAAAACAGGGATCCAGAACATGAGGATTTCCCAGCACAATCAGCAAGGCTTTGGGTCTGGTGATTGCAACATTAAATCTTTTTGAGTTGGATAAGAAACCCAGAAAATACCTATCATCTTCAAATCTATCTTCATTTGACCACGCGGTGGAGATGATGATGACCAAATATTCTTGCCCTCGAAACTCCTCTACTGATCCGAAATTTATGTCCATCAGATCAACATTTCGCAAAATAATTTTGATTTTTCCACCTGCTTCTGGTAGGGCGTGATCACACCAATGTCACTTGCAGACACTTGACTGGAGATGCCCCTGGCCAGGAGGCAGCAATAGTGCATGACCTGAACCACGACGGGCTCCTCCCTTCACGAGCTTTGCTGCCCTTCATGCCATGAAAATGAGGGGAAAGCCTTTCCCCGAGCAGGGAGGTCACTCCCTTGGGGTCTGCTCAGACTTCAAGCCCTCTGTGGTAGAGCAACCTGGACGGCAGCACCAACAGAGCTGGGTGGGATCTGTAGTTCCTCACGAGCTTTGTAACCAAGAGGGGGTTGTAGGCACCACAAGAACCAAGAGCATCTTCATCCCTCAGATATGCTGGCCAGGACATCAGTCTTTCCAACACAGAAACATTCAGCCCATAAGCCATGGCGAGTCTGGACTTGATGACGGGTCCAAACTGCATGGGGTCTCCGTCAAGGACAGTCTGGCTGTCGGCCTCTGAAACCAGCCCCAGCGGAATAAGGCGTTCCAGCTCACTCACCTGTCCCGCTTCATCCACAAACACATGTGTAAAATGTCCAACTCTCCCTCCTATTTGGTAAAAGAGACCCCTGCTGCTGCACGTCATGCTTATGATCCTGAAGCGCAAGGCCTTCCGGATACCTTCTCCATCTTTGCAGTCTGGTTGCATCAGTGGCTGTCTCCTTGAACCTGCAGGAGGCGTTTACATGGACCATGGCACCGGGCCACAGCACCTGGTTCTCATGCGGCCACAGACACACGAGGTCGACCACACTGTTGAAGGGTGCTCAGACCAATATTCGACTGTCCTGCAAAGCGTAGTTCACTGTAAAACAGCCTCTAGAACCGTCACTGTCTTCCTGGTTCCAGGAGGTCCAAAAAGAATATACAGGAGCGGGTGGCAGTCGCCACTCAGGATTCTTCTAGCCACTAACTTCTGGTTTTCGTTGAGCACAGGATTGAAAAATTCCTTCTCTCTCGCCTTGGGGATCTGAACTTCATTTACCAGATCAGTTGACTTTTCAGCAGAGGCCACTGGCCCGGGCGTGTCCTGGGCACCAGCCCGCCTCTCCTTTGCTGCATGCTTAGTGTGCTCCTTTGGGGCTTTCCTATTCTTGATGGTGGACTGTCAATCGTTTTTGGTGTCTTGTGCATCGTTCCAATTCCCCGTCACCTGGGGAGACTGTAAAATGATTTCTTCTGGAAACAACACTTTAACACCTAAGTGGGTGACATGTTCTAGTGCAAAGTGACACCATCTGCTTGTGGTCCTATTATATGTGAATTCCACATCCATAGGTTCAAAGTTATATGCTTGCTCAAATTCTGGGTTAAGTTTAAGAATTAGGTATCTTCATGAATTTCAGTCACATAGCCGATGTATTCAATGACATGTCCATTGTACTCTTGAGTTTTTAAAATCAGCTTATCACCTGTAAACAGAGAAGGTCTGCTTTCAGCCAATCCTGGGACCTCCAGAACCAGCAGGTCACCATTTCTTTTCAAGGTGACCCCACTCATGTTATACTCTTTCAGTTCTATTTCTGAATGAATCTCCTCAAGCCAGAGCAAAGTCAAAAACTTTTCCTTGTAGTTCTGATAAGGAAAATCTGTCCTAAGATGGCCGACCGAGCCAGTGAGGGAATCCCAGTCCTTGCCCTGGGGCTCTTCTGGGTTCTTCTCCCTGCTCTGCTTCCCACGCTCACCAATCCGGGTTCTTCTCCCTGCCCCGCTTCGCGCACACACCAAAAGTGCCAAGTACACAGAAATAGAGTGTATAAATTGCCCCCTTTGTGTGTGCTCGGGGCTCAGGCCTTTGGAGACCACTCTCTTCTGGGCCTGCCAGCGTTAAATAAACCTCTTATCCTCCAAGATCTCCGGGTGCCGCTTGGTTCTTCCGTTGGGTGATCCAGTCCAGGTTCCGTAATATTTGGTTCCCTGACGGGGAAACCCAACCGCAATGGCCCATTGTTGCCACCGGTTTGGGGGCAACGGCGGGGCGGTGACTGAACGAAAGGGATCGTAACAGAAAAGGTGCGCCCTGCCTAATTTTCGCCACTCTCCCACCCCTGTCACCTCTGGCCAGCCCTGCTCCGCTGTTCCTGCCAGACTGGAGGAGACTTGGCAGGTGAGGACCTAGTCCTGATGTTGGATTCCAGTAAGGCCTGGGGCCCCAGGACCCAGACAGGCCCACCTCCACTGGGGTGGAAGGGGAGCCTGATTACCTCCCAGAGACCTCTTAGAGGTCTCATAGGTAGGGATTCCCAGGGAGGGAATATAATAACTTCTGGAGTGAATGTGTGAGTGAATATGCAGTCCGACTTGGCTTGCTCAAGCAACTGATTCTGTGACTCCATAGGCAGGCACCCTTAAGGTCCCCAGAAGCCTATGGAGTATGAGTGGGCCCATCTGCGATTCCGTGGTGAATGGCATACAGTCTGTGGAGGCATCAGAATAGTTTCCAATCATAAGTCACAACGCTGAGACCACTACGGCTAAGCCTCACCTAAGCTCCTTCAGGACACGGCCAGATGGGCATCTGATTGGTCTCCTCATCTCAGGAGGCACCCCCCCCCTTTGTCTTTCTCTGTGCCACCGCACTCAGAGACATCACCATGGTGTCAGGGCAGAGTAAACCTACGGTTCTAGAGACCATGATCAAAAATTTCAAGAAGGGGTTTTCGGGAGACTATGGAGTCAGGATGAACCCCAGCAAGTTGAGAACCCTATGTGAACTGGAATGGCCCACCTTTGATGTCAGGTGGCCTTCAGAAGGGACATTGGATGTCCCAGTGATTCGTTGAGTATGGTGAGTCATGACAGGAGAAACAGGACACCCTGACCAGTTTCAATACATTGACTCCTGGCTAGGAATTGCTCAGACCCTCCCCCCAGGTGCGATACGCTGGCAATAGGCAGGGACAGGCCAGAGTCTTAATCGCCTCATCCAAGCGACCTAAAGAAAAGCGGCAAAAATCCCAGTCTTCACAAATCCTAGCCGGAGATCCCGAGGATGAACCAACCCTGTCCCCACCGTACGTACCCCCAAGATGGCCTACACCTGGCCCTTCAGCTCCAGACACTCGGCCACCATCGGTTTCACTGGTGCCCCCAGGCCCAAAAGATCCCCTTTGTCCAGGACCAGCAGCCAGGCTGTGCCCCAGGCCAGATGCAAGTGCCCTCCAAATGCCAGTACGAGAGACGCAGGAACCCAAGAGGCACAATGAAGACGGGACAGTCCAACCTGGCCATTCCATGATGTATTATCAGCCCTTCACCACCACCGACCTCCTCAACTGGAAACATAACACCCCATCCTACTCTGAGAAACCACAGGCTATGGTAGACCTCATAAAATCCCTCTTCCAGACTCATCGGCCAACCTGGGAAGACTGCCAACAGTTACTCCGCACCCTGTTTAAACACAGAGGAAAGGAGGAGAATAATGAAAGGTGCACGGCAGTACCTGGAAGAGCACGCACCAGCGGGAGTCATTGACCCTGCTGCCTGGGCTAACACGGCCGCACCCAAAGAGCACCCAGCAAGGGGCTTCACCACAACCGAGGGACAGGCCCACATCCGCCGGTACCAGGAGGCCCTCCTCCAGGGAATCCGGGCAGGAGCTAAGAAACCCATGAACATGACTAAGGTATCCTCAGTCACTCACAACCAGGGGAGTCCCCCGGGGACTACTACAAAAGACTGTGAAGCCTACAGGATATACACTCCATTTGACCCCGAGGCACAGGAAAGCCAACAGATGGTAAACACCTCCTTCATGGCTCAAGCTGCCCCAGACATCAGAAAAAAAACTTGAGAAACTAGCGGGTTTTGCCAGGATGAACATCACCCAACTAACAGAGATTGCCAATAAGGTCTACATGAATGGGGAGGTCGCAGCTGAACGGGAAGCCGACAAAAAGATGAAAAAGAAAGTCAGCCTCCTGGCCACTGCCCTGAAAGAAAAGGACAACACAAAGGCAGGGAGACCCCAACCACCAAAAGGGGGGAAGCCCAGACCCTCCCTTGGCAAGGGATCAATGTGCCTACTGAAAGAGAAAGGACATTGGAAAAACGAATGTCCCAACCGGGGAAAGCCTCAAAAGCCCAGCCGCTACAAGGAAAAACCCCGAGAAGAGGACCTCATAGGCCTTGCAGGAATGGACTCAGACTGAGGGGGACCGGGCTCTTTCCTCCTTGGCTCCCATGAGCCCACGGTCAAAATGAAGTGGGGGGCCAACCAGCGATTTTTATGGTTGATACTGGGGCCAAGCACTCTCTTGTCACCTCCCCAGTGGCACCTTTCAGCAAAAGGACTGCGACCATCCTCGGGGCCACCGGGATGTGGGCGATACAACGGCCCTTTTGCCAGGCTCGCCAGTGCGAACTCAGGGGCCACAAGGTCCGACATGAATTCCTTTATCTGCCCGATTGCCCCATCCCTCTCCTGGGCCGAGACATAGTCTCCAAGCTTAGGGCTCAGATAATTTTTGAGCCCACAGGACACACTAGCCTCCCACTAAACCCAAGGCAGGAGGAGACAGGGTCTCTAATACTAGCAATTACCACACCAAGGGAAGAAGAATGGAGGCTATTCTGTGCCCAGGCCCAACCGAGCAGCCCGCCAGAGTTCAGAATCGCCTTCCCTTCAGTATGGGCTAAAGACAACCCACCTGGACTAGCCCAGAATTGGGCCCCTATCATTGTTGAACTGATCCCACGAGCCCAACCTCAGAGGCAAAGGCAATACCCCCTTCCACAAGAAGCTAAGATCGGTATCCAAGAACATCTGACCAAACTCAAAGAAGCAGGTATTCTAGTCGAGTGCCAGTCGGCCTGGAATACCCCACTCCTGCCAGTCAAGAAGCCAGGAGGGGTATACCAATCAGTTCAAGACCTGCGGGCCATCAACAAGGTGACCATCTCTCTTCACCCAGTGGTCCCGAATCCATACACCCGCCTCAGCCAAATCCCAGGGTCAGCCAGATGGTTCACTTGCCCAGATTTGAAGGATGCCTTCTTCTGCCTCTGCTTAGCTCCCCAGAGCCAGCCACTATTTGCCTTTGAATGGTCTGAACCTGATACAGGGCACCAGATGCAACTGACTTGGGTGCGCCTCCCACAGGGGTTTAAAAACTCACCAACCCTCTTTGGGGAAGTGCTGGCCGTGGACCTCTCCAGCTGCCCAAGAGAGGCCACATGATGCACCCTCCTCCAGTATGTGGATGACCTCCTCCTCACCAGTGACACACAAAAAGACTGCACAAAAGGCACAAAGGCCCTCCTACAGCTCCTGTCAGACTCGGGATACCAATCCTCATGGAAGAAGGCACAAATCTGCCAACAACAGGTCTGATACCTTGGTTTCCTCCTCACCTAAGGGAAGAGAGAACTAGGGCCAGAGAGGAAAAGGGTCATCATCTCCCTGTCACAGCCCCAGACAAAAAGGGGCCTACGAGAATTCCTGGGGGCTGCAGGATTCTGCCGCATCTGGATCCCTGGGTTCTTGGCAATAGCAAGACCCTCTCTGATCTCTTAGGGGGACCAGAGCGAGAACCCCCTGCCTGGACTGAGGAAGTGGAAGCTGCTTTCACAGAGATAAAGACTGCCCAGGGGCAGGCTCCAGCCCTGGGCCTATCAGATGTAGAAAAACCCTTCAATCTCTTTGTGCATGAAAAGGAAAAAATAGCACTCGGGGTACTCACCCAGACTGTTGGACCCTGGCAATGGCCAGTTGCTTACCTGTCAAAGAAGCTGGACCCCGTGGCAGCCGGATGGCCGCTGTGCCTCAGGGTGCTGGCAGCCACAGTCCTACTCATCAAGGAGGTGGACAAACTTACCCTGGGGCAAGAACAAGGTCCCTCATACAGTTGTGTCCCTCATGAACGCACAGGGACCCCGATTCCTTTCCAACTCTCAGCTAGCACAATACCAAGGGCTCCTCTGCAAAAACCCGTGAGTCACTCTTGAAACAGTAAGGACATTAAATCCAGCAACCTTTCTCCCCACAGAAGAGGGGGAACCAGACTGTGACTGCTCTGAGGTGACTGATGAAGTCTACATGAGCCATCCAGATCTGCAGGATCAAGCCATAAAGAATCCAGAGCTCACACTGTTCAGCAATGGCAGCATTTACCTACAAGAGGGTACCCAGAAAGCGGGTTATGCAGTAACCACAACCACTGAAGTCCTAGAAGGCATTACCAGCGGGATGGTTATATGCCCTAGTCCGAGCCCTCACCCTCGGTGAAGGCAAGCGAGTCAACATCTATACTGACTCTTGGTACGCCTTTGCTACCTGTACATATACATGGAGCCATCTACAAGGAAAGGGACCTCCTAACCACAGCCAGAAAAGCTATCAAGAACAAAGAGGAGATACTGAGACTCCTCAAAGCTGTCTGACTTCCAAAGGAAGTAGCAATCCTGCACTGTAAGGGACACCAGAAAGGAGACGACCCCATAGCACGGGGAAACCGTCTGGCAGATGAGGCAGCCAAGACCACAGCCAGTGAGGACATGGACAGAGCCCCTTCCCTCCCCATGGCCTTAACACCCCCAGAAGAAGTCCCTCCACCCAGTTATACTAAAAAGGAAAAGAATGGGCCATGGCTGAGGGAGCCACCCTGACTGAAAAGGGATGGTGGATGCTGTTCCAACAGTAACTGGAAGCCATCTAGTCAAGGAACACCACTGACTCACTCATCTGGGAAAAACTGCATTAGAGCCCTTCTCAAGAAGCACTACTACATCAGTCAGCTGCCAGCACTATGCTGAGCAATGAATGAACGATGCATAACATGTGCTAAAAATAATGCTCGGTTTGCACCATGGCCCCCGCCAGGTGTCCAGAGGATGGGAGCAACCCCCTTCGAAGATCTAGAGGTAGACTTCACAGATGTGTAGCCGAGCAAGGGGTTCAGATATCTTCTAGTAATAGTATGCACATACTCTGGGTGGGTTGAAGCCTTCCCGACTAGGACAGAACAAAGCCAGGAAGTAGCTAAAGTCCTCTTGTGGGAGATTGTGCCCCGGTTTGGCCTGCCATTAATAATCCATAGTGACAATGGACCCGCATTTGTGGCAGACATTGTACAGGTTTTGACCAAATCTCTCAACATCACCTGGAGACTCCATACCGCTTACCGGCCCCAAAGTTCAGGGAAAGTAGAGCGAATGAATCACCCCCTCGAGGGAATCTTACTAAAATTTTGTCAGGAGACTAACTAACCTCCCATGGCCGGGTCTGCTACCCCTAGCTCTCCTGTGTGCTCGCTGCACACCCGGGACATCAGGTTTCTCCCCATCCGAATTAATATATGAACGGCCTGCCCCGTGCTTGGGAAGCCTTCCAGGAAACTTGCATCAGGTTGGAGATAAAGGGATAAAGGAGCAGCTTCAGGTCCTGGGGGCCACCCTAAATAAATTACAAAAGTATACCATCGAGAGGGCCCCAATCTCCTTAGGGTCTCAGGTACACTCCTTCCAGACAGGGGACTCAGTTTGGGTCAAAGATTTGAAGAAAGACCCCCTGAAACCACCGTGGACAGGGCCCCACACTATTGTTCTAACCGGCCCTAGTGCCCTCAAGGTCTCAGGTGTCACTCCGTGGGTCCACCACTCCAGAGTGAAGAAAGCTCATCATTCGAACGAGGAGCCACACCAGTGGAGAGTCCAGCCAGACTTCACGAACCCACTCCAGCTTCACCTTCGACAAGACCCCACCGACTGATGGACACCTACTCACCGTGGTCCCTGGTTCCCATCGGCATGATTTCCCTCATCTTGGGAATCAGACTCTACACTGTTGCCCCTCCTGACTGGACTTTCCCCCAGAGGCTTACTATTGTCATTGCTTACTGGGTGTCCCTAGGGTGTATTACTGCACTTACTTGTCCACGGGTTTCATCTGCTGTTGCGTTAGCCACGATGGCTCCCTCTACCTGAGGTCAAAGATCCCACTTTTACTGGCCCTCTGCTGTCTACTCCTGAGCGCATTTCACCATGGTTTTCCTGGCCCCAGTCAATCCCGGTCTTCTGTTACCTGGTGTGCTGTTCTTCTGCACTGCCTCTAGCTTGCCTGGCCAGGCAAGGGGGCCAAACTCTCGTATCACTGTTACTGGCAAATGGACTTTCCAGTTTATCCCCCTCAATCCCACACCAGCGCCCCCACTGACTTCTTCCACCTGGGATGGGCACACACCAAAGGTTAACCTCCATTTTGACGGATGCCAGCTTCTTGATACCTCCTTAGAACCTCATAGACGGTGTTCTTACCATGGCCCTCACTCTGGTTACTGGCTGGTAGATATCTACATCTGTGGGGGCCCTATGTCTCAACAGCGAAACACCTGCCCTCAGTTCTGCTCACAAGCCTGGGGATGTGAGTCATGGGTGGCGACTTGGCCAGGAATGGAACGGGTCCACCAGGTGGCACCTTAAACAGCACAGTGACATCCGGATTTCCTTGTCACGCAAGGCCACCCCATCCTCTTGCCTTAACAATCACTGTATACCGCTCACCCTCTCAGTCTTAGAACCCAGTGCCACATCATGGGCTATAGGAATCATTCTCCTGTTGAGCCAATATCACCCTATGGGGACTGACCCCATGGCCAAATTTATGATTAATTACATGTTCACACCAAGGCTTACAGTCAACCCTCAGAGTCAGACAGAAAATAACACCCTGGTGCGTCCCTGGGTCCCCCATCCACAAGCGTGACTTTACTTTGTGCCCGAAGCTAGTAAAGCAGATTTGCCAGTGGCACCATGTGGTGTCCCTTTGATTTGAAGGTACCACCTCTCAAGTGACTGTCTGGGTCTGAAGAAGAAGGGATTTCAAGTACAGACCTGGCTGGGAACTAGGAGCCCCACCCTGAGTGTGCACACACACCCTCACACACCCATTCAGGATTTGTCACTTTCTGAGCTTAGAGGTCCTGGCTCTCTGCCTCTTGGCAGTTCACAAATAGGAACTCCAGCTGAGCTGTGGTCGGGGCTCTCACATCTGTGGGGAGGGGAGCACAGATCCCCATCAGTCCCCGTCAGTCCTGGCACCTTGTGCTGGGCCAGGACCCCCTCCATCAATGCAGTGATCAAAGGCCGCAGCACCCAGAGCCAGTGTCTGCTTATCAGCTGCCCAGCTCCCCTGGGCACAAGGTCTCCTGCCACAGCCCTGCTCACCCTTCCCCACAGGCGACACCCGCCAGCCTACCCCTTCAGGACCCCTCTGGGCACAGCGCTTAGCAACCACTTCTTTTAGCTCCATTCCAAGCCCAGGTTTCATGAAGGCAGCCTCCCCACACCCGCCCTTCCAGTCTCGGCTCCTGGAAGGCTGAGCCTCTGCCTTTCCCCCAGACGCTCATTCACAGGTCCCACACACAGCACGGACCAAACCCCTTAGCAACTGGATGGAGCGAAAACCCCCAGGCAACTGGTTTATTGGTTTCAACACTGGACTGTTGTTTTCCTTTCCAAAGTGCCTACTGTGGGGGTCCAGGGTATAAGGAATCCCAGGAGGGTCCCTCCGTGAGGGAGCCATAAAAAGAGGACAGCTCTGGGGGTAATCAGAGAGACGGGACTCGAGCAGAAGAGCCACAGGCTCCTGGGAGAACGGTAGTGTGAGAAGGGCCAGGAACGAGCTTATAACCAGCTGGCAGGATCAGCAGCCTGACAGACTAGATCCAGTCAGAGGCATTTGATTTGGTGCACGCAGTGTACTTATAAATTGGTTGCAACGTTTAAAAGTTGGAAGGTTCACATAACATAAAAGTCTGGCTTTTCTGGAGAAATTAGAAAGCTGGTAACTGGGCCTATGTTCCTTCCCGGCAACTCCTGAGGGGAGCAGGACCCTTGGCTCACAAGGTCAAGAAACCAAGTTTCCCTGAGGTCAGGGCCAGCCTGACCAGTCTGAAGATCAGTCATGGATGGAGAGAGGCATGGGCAGTCTGGGAGCCCTCTAGAAATTGCAGGGATGAGTATAAGAGCCAAGTCTTCAGGAGGGATCGAGTTCACAGAAGAGCAAAGACATATAAGAAGGCCACTAGGGAAGTCCCTTCCTCATCCAGAAGGGCCGGATGGGGCCATCCTGACAACCACTCCGAAGTGTCCAGAACCCACCATCACAGCCGGGAGTCGGCCAGCCCATGTGGGGAGCTCCACCACATGTCCAGAATGATCTGAGAGGGCTGCCAGGGCCCCCAAGCTGAGAAAGACTTTGTAAGAGTTCTGGAAATGTTCCTCTTTACCTGTTTCCTCTTAGTGATTTACAGTAAATATCTCTAAGCCAAAAGTGTCCCATGAGTTTGTTTGGTGGGAGCAGGGGAGGAGGGCAGGCTGGGGAGACTAAGGGCTACAACATAGGAGAGGAATTCCCAAAGAGACAGAAGTGGTCTGTAAATTCAGATTTGGGAGCCTGCTAGAAGGAAGAAAGAGTCCTGGGCCTGGGAAGTGATCCATGGAACCTACCAGGCCTTGATTACCCCTGTTGTTTCACAACACACCAGAGAAGTTTCTAGATCAGTGGTGTGCTGGAGCCAGTTCCTACCAGCTTGCAGGAGCCAATTGTCTACAACCTTCCCCAGCTTCAGAGGGTCCGTGGCTTCATACTGGTACCTTGAAAGCAGCCACCATGGGAATATTTCTACCACAGAAGTTGGCAAACTTCTGAGCCCTCCCCACCCCCAAGAGGCAGTTGTTAATTATCTACCCACATACCACTGCTGGTTCTCCCGTGGATCACCTACCTGTCACATCTGGCCCAGGATGCGCTTCTGTGAGAAGCACAGTGAGAAAACCCCCCAGACTCCACATTCCCCCATGGGTCCCAAACAGGAAATGAACCAAGCAGGCAAACAGCCTAAATCAGAATCCAACAACAGTTCTAAATTATAATGAACCTTCACTGACTTCCCTCTGTTTTCTTTTTCTCTTTCTTTCTTCCTTTTTTCAAAATTTTTATTATTTTTATTTTTTTATTATGTTATGTTAGTCACCATACAGTACTTCATTAAGTTTTATTAATTTAAGTAATTTAAGTAATCTCTACACCCAACATGGGGCTTGAACTCATGACCCTGAGATCAAGAGTTACATGTTCCTCTGACTAAGCCAGCCAGGTGCCCCATTCCCTCTTTTTCCTAATTGCTTCTCCAGAGAGTCCAGGTCTGGGGAGAAGCTTTCTTTCCTCTAAGCGAGTTTTCTTTTTTCTTTCCGAGCTGAGTTCACATAGAAGGACTGGGGCCGAAGCTTGTGTTGTAACAAAACCCATTCAAGGCCCTTGCCATACATTTCCACCTCCCTGCATAGCGGACCACCCAGCCCACATCTAGACAGGGCTCAGTGTTGCACAAAGAACCTTGCAAGATGAGTGAAAGGCCTCGAACAGCCTCCTCCATTCACTGTCTGCAGGGCAACACCCATGCTTTTGCCGTCAGCATAGATGGTCTCTCAGATATATTTCTAATCACCTTCCATCTGTCATACCCTTGACCCTTGATGTCACAGACATCACCAGGTCTTTTTCTTTTCTTTTCTCTCTTCCAGATCTTTTCCCTCCCAGCTGGGAAATGAAGGTTGATCTGCTGAGCAGCCCGTTCAGTTCCCTGTATTGCCCTGGGCCACAGCACCCAGCTGAACATCAGCTCAAGGAAAATTAGTTACACAAGAAAAGATATTTAACTATAGTACTTGGCCAGACTGAGAACAAAACTTACATAAGCATAATGATGTAAATATTTGAAAGCAGATTTAACCAAAAGTTCTGAAACAACTGAAGTGGCAGGATGTCCATAGGAAAATTTTCCTGTTTCTCTCCTTTATAATTGCAGAGCACTTTTTTTTTAAGATTTTATTCATTTATTTGACAGAGAGAGACACAGTGAGAGAGGGAAGATAAGCAGGGGGAGTGGGAGAGGGAGAGGCAGGCTTTCCTGCCGAGCAGGGAGCCCAACGCAGGGCTGGATCCCAGGACCCTGGGATCATGACCTGAGCCAAAGGCAGACGCTTAATGACTGAGCCACCCAGGCGCCCCTGCATAGCACTTCTGACACTAGATGTGTGGGGTTTCCCAACACCAAGAAATTCTCTGCAACACCAAGTAGATGTCCTACAATTCAATTCTTATTTTTTAAATATTTTATTTATTTCTTTGTTTATTTCTTTGTTTATTTATTTATTTATTTATTTATTTGAGAGAGGGAGAGAGTGCACAGGGGGAGGGGTAGAGGTGGAGGGAGGAAGAGGGAAAGAATCCCAAGCAGACTCCCCTCTGAGCGCGGAGCCCAACGCAGGGCTCAATCTCATGACCCTGAGATCATTACCTGACTCGAAGCCAAGAGTCAGACGCTCAATTGACTCAGCCACCCAGGCCCCCTACAATTCAATTCTGACACTAACTGGAGTTAGGTGAAGACTCCACAGGTTAATGACTTAGTCCTACGACACTGCCCCCCCCATTTCTGATGCCAATGGCAAGTGGTGGGTCCCTGGGTTACTTACACAATGTCTGTCTGACTTGGCTACAAATCAGAGGTTCCCATAACCTTCGTCTTAGATTCAATTGTTGGCTGGAACTGCTCACAGAACTCCAGGAAACACTTGTGTTTATTGGTTTATTATAAAATAAAGCATATGATAAAGGATACAGATGAACAGCCAGATGAAGAGATACATAAGATGTGGTCTGGGAGGGTCTTGAGCACAGGAACCACTATTCCCATAGAGTTGGGGTGTACCAACCTGGAAGCTCTCCAAGCCCCATACTTTCAGTATTTGTATGGAGGCTTTCACTTAGGCATAATGGATCATTAACTCAATCTCCAGCCCCTGTCCCCTTCTTGAAGAATGGAGGGTGGTACCTACTGGGGAAGGTCATCAGGAAGACATAACTGCTGGCTGATCCATAAGTTGAACCCTAGTGATCAGAGGTCCTCTCCCCCACTCCTGTCCTTGGAATGTGGGTTTCACTTTCCTTTCCTACTCTGAGAGGCTGCTCCAAGGACATAGCCTTAAGTAATGATGTGGTGTTGAGAAGCCCTGCATAGTATACATGACTGAATCCAGTTAAGGCCCCTCTCTCCCTAAACCTAAAATGTGCCAGGTGGGTGCAAGGATCCACTTGTCTGGCTGCTACCCAAGACTAGCCTTTCCTATAAGTTCCCTTTCCTCCTTAAAACTGCCACCTACCAACCTGGAGTGACCTGCCTCTTTCTTCCGGTCTTTCTTCACCCTTCCCTTATGGGCTAGTTTCAGATTACACAGGGAAGCTCCCAAGGGGGTTCAAACCAACAGGAACTGTAAGTTCCAAGCTTCTCATCCTGGTTTGGTTTTGCTGGTGACCAGTGCCCATCCTGAAACTATCCAGGAGACTCATTTTCCAGAGTTGCCTCATTAGAACAAAAGACACTCAGATCACCCAGAAAATTCCCAAGGATTTAGGAGCTGTGTTCAGAAACCAGGGGCAGAAATCATTATATATTTTTTCTACTATTCCACAGTGTTCCTCTTCTAGATTATGCGAAGTGAAATAAGTCAAGGAGAGAAAGTCAATAATCATATGGTTTCACTTATTTGTGCAACATAAGGAATAGCATGGAGGACACTAGGAGAAGGAAGGGAAAAATGAAGGGGGGGGAAATCGGAGGGAGAGATGAACCATGGGGGACTATGGACTCTGAGAAACAAACAGGGTTTTAGAGGGGAGGGCGGTGGGTTAGCCCGGTGATGGGTATTAAGGCGGGCACGTATTGAATGGAGCACAGGGTGTTATACCCAAACAATGAATTATGGAACACTACATCAAAAACTAATGACGTAATGTATGGTGACTAACATAACATAATAAAATAAAATTTAAAAAAAAAAAGAGCGTTCCTTTTCTAGTCAGGCAACAAGAGATGCTGATCCCACTGGAGTATACAATCTGCAAGGGAAGTCAGGCTGTGCAAGGGTGATAACTCAGCTCCCATGTGGCTCTTGGTCAGTGATCAGATTCAGGCACTGATTCTTCTTGGAATTAGGACAGCAAGTGCCACCTTCCTGGGATCAGGCTCCTGTGGAGCCCCTCCTCCCTGCTCCCGTTTCCTCAGATTCCTCTCCAGTCCTTTCTGAGATTCCTCTTCTCTCTCTTGTCTCCTCCTCGAGTCCCATCTTTTCCAACAAGTGGCACAGATAGAGACTGCAAGGGAATGAAGGGGTGCCAGGTACCAGGGGAGGCCTGGGACAAGCCAGAGGGCACGAGGTATGGCGCCAGGCAGCTGCCATGGCACAGGAACCGACATGCTCTGCTGCCAGATCTTCCTCCTCATCCGGAGGTCTTTGACCAGCTTTGTGTGACACTCCCTGTTTTTTAAATGTTAGCAAAGAATTCGAATAGTTTTGGCTAGATCCAGAGACTGAATCAATCAGAAACCTGGTTTCCCTGTCCTTGAAGAAACTTCATTCAACTCTTCACAGAACATGAGGAGAATATTTCTATTCTAGTCTTCTGGGACAGCCAAATACAGAAAGTGGGGCAAAACCTGTAAACTTCCCTATTAAGTCAGTTTGATTTTTCAGAAACTGCCCCAAATCACCACCACCACCACCATCATCATCATAATTCCACCTTTGCACGGTTCTGACTTTCACAACATGCTTTTCTCCAGTGAATTAAAAACTAGGACTTCTAGTTGAAACCTGGCAGTTTTAATTCAATAGAAGAAATAACCACCACCAAAAATGCCCACAACCTTGCAGACACTGGCTGAACGCCCCTCCCGCCTTTCCACTGAAAGCTGTCTCTCTTGCAGACTTGCCAGGGACAAGGCCTCCACTGCCCAGCTCCCCACCTCACCCCCAGCACCCATCCCCTTCCCTGGGGTTCCCAAAGCCTGACAGCACCTTTGCTAAGCTGACTGCTCCCAAATGATTCTCTGTCTCTGCCTCTAAGACCTTCTCCTTCTCACCGGTCTCCCCTCCAGGGACCAGCCGGTGGAAGATTCTCTGTGTAACCCCTTGTCTGGGATATAAGAACAGGTAGCTAAGGGAGGTGAGTTGGTTTTCTGGGTGCCAGGACCATACCAGACAGAGGTCTTACGTGGTCTTGCTGCAGAGCACACACCACAAAGTCTCCACCAACACACACAGACACTCCACCAACACTCTCCAATCAAGAGACAGACCTCCCTTACCTTTCTGGGAATTTTCTTGGAATGTTCTTGGATTGCCCCCCAAACATTCCAGGGCAGCCCTCCAAGGCCCCATGTACCATATGCTATTTCTTTATGCACTTTTTTTCTCTTTAACAAATGTTTCTTTCTGGACTCAGGCCAGGCCTATTAAGCATTCATGCCCAAGCAGCATCTACTTCTCCCCCAGTGCTGGGTGGGGCTTGGAGCTAAAGGCTACAAACATCTGTCGGTGTTGTGTCAAACCAGTCCAGCCTTGCCTAATCGTCTGCAGAGACAGCTTGCTGCTGAAGGCCTGGTGACGAAAAGGAAAGAGATTTGTATCAGAGGTGGCTGCACCGGCAGCACCAAGGTCCATCCAGAAAGCGCTCACTCGCTTTGCTACTTTCTCAGTCCAACCAGCCCCAACCTCAGAACCCAGCCATGATAAGAAGATGCTTCCAGGTGGCAGTAAGACTTGGCCGGCACAGAGTCCTTCCTGGTGTCCCCCAGGTCCTGCCCAGACTCAACCCCACCTCAGCATTCGGATCCTCCACGGACGCCCTGGTCAGTAAGTTCCCAGCTCAGCTGGGTAGGCAGCACTTCTCTTGGGGGCCTAGGGCACAGGAGCACCCCAAATTTCCTCTTCCCAGATGATGGCTGGGGCAAGTGGGCAGTGTGTTGGGGAGCTATTTGATTTGGTAAAGGGAAGGTGCTTTTAGGATATCAAGTAACCCAGATAAAGGGGCTCCTGGCTGGCTTAGCTGGTAGAGCATGTGACTCTTGATTTCAGGGTCATGAGTTCAAGCCCCATGTAGGGCCTAAAGATAGGAAGGGAGGAAGGGAGGAAGGAAGGGAGGAAGGAAGGCAGGCAGGCAGGCAGGCAGGAAGGAAGGCAGGCAGGCAGGAAGGAAGGAAGGCAGGCAGGAAGGCAGGAAGGCAGGAAGGAAGGAAGGCAGGAAAAGCAAGTAGGCAGAAAGAGAAGGAAGGAGAGGAAAGGAAGAGGAAGGGAAGGGAAGGGAAAGGAGACTAAGGAGCATAGATCCAAAACTAAGACCACCAGGACACTTTTGTCCTGGTCTGAAACTCGTGTGACCACCAATGAGTCACTTTCTTCCTGTGGAACTCAGACCATTGCAACTGAGTTGGGGCATTTCCAGATGGACGGTTCTGTGTGAGGTTTGGTGAGCAGCCAGCCTACTGCCCAGAGTTGTTACTGGTCCATGAGTGCTTGATGGGGCTCAGAGGGCTCACTTTTCCCACAGATAGTTTCACACTTCGGTGGGCACCCGAAACATGTTTCAAAGGAGCCACCTTTCCAGGGCAGGCCCACAGCTGTAGACAGAATGGGGATAACACTTGAGGTAAGGAGGTGGTAGCAATGGTCCTCCACCACTGGTCGCACCCCCTAGGGTAGACAGTGTCTGAGGACAGGCTCTAGTCTGACCATCAGTTCTTATATTCACAAGCTTGGCAACCTTAGCCATATTTCCTCAGTTTCCCCATCTGTACAGTGGGGCTTAGACTAGCAGTTCTTAGCTTCAAAGAACAGCTCACAGGTTTTTAAACAGGACAGTGGTAAGGCACACCACAGAGCAGTATGCCCCTACTTGTCAGCCCTGGTTCCTTTTTTTTCCTTCCTTTGCACCTTAGCATCCCCTTGCCAGTCACCCGCAGGTGGCTCCCAGCCCTCTGCAAGGAAAATGGGCCACTTCCTGTAAGTCAACACTGGTGGAAGGGCTTGAGGAGTCAAGAACCCAGGAGCAAACCACCTAGAGGTCCCACAGCCCAAACAGCAGCCCCCCATCCCCCAGGAAGCTGTTTAATCTCCCTGATTTTTCCCTCCCAGGTCTCAAGATTCTGTCTGAAGAAGACAGATTTGAAGGATTATGCCCTTCCCAATGCCAGCTGGTGTCCAGACATGCTGACCCTGTACCAGGAATTTCTGGAGAAGACCAAGACTGACGGCTGGATCAAACTGCCCTCCTTCAAGTCCAACAGAGACCACATCCAGGGGCTGACCCTCCCATTTGGGTTAGCAGTGGCCTCAGGTAGGGCCTGGCCTGGGAGGGCCTCTGGGCACACCTGCTCCCCAGCCCACCGGGTGGGTTCAGCCAGTTCCTCTCATTGTGCTGACTCTCCTGACCCTCAGGAAGATCCACAAGCTCCCTTCCAGTTCTCAGCTGGAAGTTCTTTCTGTGTCTGACCCACCTCTGATGCTGCAGCCCCAGGCAGGTAGAGGAGAAGAGAAGAGTATTCTCTGTGATCTCTGCTTCCCTCCTCGCATCCAAGAGAACACAACCCAGTGTCGGCCTTTGCTCCCTGCCAAGAGCCAACCGCTGAGCACAGCCCCTCAGCCCCCTGCCCTTCTGTCTTCTCACTGGGTGTTCTTCCTGTACTGTCAAGCCTTATCCCAAGTCCTCCTCTTTACCCAGTAAAGGCCCTGGGGCCTGCCTCCCCCACTGTGGGCCTCGGCACACCGTCCCTGCTCTACTGGGTCCACAGCCAGTCTCCCCAAACACCCACCAGATCAGATGGATAGAACTTTCCACCTTCAGCTTTCTTCATGTGTGTAGATGCATGTGTGTGCATGTGTACATGCATATCCCTGTTTTCTTGTCTCTCTTTCATATATGTGGTTTTCCTGCCCACTGATGAATGGGTGGTGCAGTAGGCAGATGACCTTTGCGTTTATGCCACAAAGCAGGGTCACCAAAATAATTTTTTTCAAAATATTTGATATCCATCAAAAAAGGATGTAGTTGTTGTAGTAGTTGTCTTGGGGGAAAAAATATCAGGACTTTGGTGGACTTTTCTGTACTTATTTTACTGTGTTTTTTTTTTTTAAGATTTTGTTTTTAAGTAATCTCTACACCCAACATGGGGCTCAAACTCACCATCCCAAGATCAAGAGTCACATGCTCTACCAACTGAGTCAGCCAAGCATCCCGATTTTACTGTTTAGTACTGTTGTTATTTTGAATTATATGTGAATTACATGTTATAGTTTTAATTTCCCATGTTTAAGGTCTGTTAAAGTCTTGATCTGGCCATGAGCTTATATCTACCCCTCAGCCAGGGAACTTTCTTGAGTATTTCTCCCTCCAGACCGAGGGGTCCCTGAGGAGAGGGCTGTGTCTCCAGTCTCAGATTGAATGCTCCCTGAGGGCAGAGGCTGGGTGTCCTCTGGTTCTCTCCTGGACCCTGTGCCAGGGTCCTACCAGGCCTAAGGCAGGGCTCCACCCATGGTGCTGAATGACTGGCCCTGCATCCTAACTGGGCCCCACGCTCTCATGCACCCCCTTCTCCAGCTACGACACTGCCCATCTCTCCCTAGACATAAGTGATTGGCGCATCTTCACCAGGTGCATCCAAGTGGAAGGACAAGGCTACGAGTATGTCATTTTTTTCCACCCATCCAAGAAGAAGTCCATCTGTCTTTTCCAACCTGGCCCCTACCTGGAGGGGGCCCCAGGGTAAGCCACAGGCAGGGTCTGGGTGGATGTCCTTGGCCGCTTTCTGGGCTTGGCTCAGCTGATGGATGAGCCACACACCAGGCCCCGGAGTCTGTACCTCTCCCTAAGGAGCTGGGTGGGGGTGGTGAGCACTGGACTTCTGTCTCAACACCAGGGCACTGGAAGGGCACTCCGGGTCATCTGGTCCAGTCCCCATTGTGCAGATAAGGAGAGCCTCCTTAGGGAGGTCTATTATTTTTCCAATAAGAAGGTGGTCTTAGAGGCCACTTTGAGAAAGGTGTTGTGAACTTGGAAGAGGACAAGATCTGGAGCCAGGCTTTCAGTCCGGCTCTGCCTTACTGGCCTTGGAAACCTAAGCAAGCAATTTAACCTCTGGTCTTCAGCCTTCTTACCTGAAACCTGAGGCAATAATATCCAGCTGCCAGAATGACTGAAAGATACAATATTATGGGACTATGTATATGTACTCACAAATCATATGGTACAATATAGCTCTCAGACACCATCTCTCCAGACTTCATGTTTTGTCCAGGAGCAAGCTGAGGCACACGGAGGTAAGGTAGCACAGTAGTACACACAACCAAGGCAGATCAGGTCTCTAATCCAGGACCTGGGACTCTAATCCATTGATCTCTCCATTATACTCTGCTGCCTTCAAACTTGGGATAGGCCCAGGAAGGAACTCACACTAGGTAAATTCCACAAGGGAGAGCAAGCTGGCCTTGAGCCTCTTGCCCAAGGCCACTGGGCCACCAAGTCCATGGTCATCTGCCTTCTCCTGCATCCCCGTTCCTTCTTTAGACAGTCACTGAAGGCTATTGGTGGTGCCAGAGTTCCTACAAAGGAGACAGAAGGGTGGGGGGGCAGCTTTAGGGTCCCAAGGCCTGGGAGGGACTCAGTGGCAGTTAAATTCAGAGATCTTAATAGATGTCAGCACCTTCACAGGCCATGGATTCAGACCGCAGCCCTTGGTCACCTTGGCCATCCCAAAGGCATCTTCCGTGAGGACAATGATTTTCCCACTGATGCATCAGCTGCTGGGGGACTAGGTCAGAGCCCTACACAGGTCAGGAATGCCCTTCATTCTGAAGATGAAAACACCGGAAGGCAGGGATGGGGGGTGAAGTGTAGCCGATTTTTATTTAGGGGCTTATGGAAGTGGGGCAGGAGAGGCAGAGGAGGACCATTCAACACTGAAGCCAGTGGGTTGAGGGGTTCAGAGAAGAGATTCATATTGAATAGAAAGAAATACCCAGTTCAGGGGTGCCTGGGTGGCTCAGTTGGTTAAGCGACTGCCTTCGGCTCAGGTCATGATCCTGGAGTCCCGGGATCAAGTCCCGCATCAGGCTCTGCTCAGGAGGGAGTCTGCTTCTCCCTCTGGCCCTCCCTCCTCTCATGTGCTCTCTCTCTCTCTCTCTCATTCTCTCTCTCTCTCAAATA